AATGTAAGGAAGAGATAGGAATTTATAAAGTCAATGTCTGATGAACATATGCTAATTATACTGTCTTTCAAAGGTCTCTGTTTTTAATTGCTCCAAAAAATGCCAACCTGGACAAATCCTGAAATCAAAGGAAAGGGGAGGCTGCTGCCATGAATGCAGTGACTGTTCATCTGAAGAATATTCATTTGGAAATGGTCAGTGCTGTTTTTTTATTTGTTTTCTATAGTTACAGTATTTCCATAAAAAATGTAAACAAAGACATTGCACAATTTCTCTCCTTAACTAGTAGGCCTGTCTGAGAGGCTGAGATTTTGCATATCACTGCATATGATACTTAATAAAAAAGTATTTCTAGGATTTCTGCAGTTCCTTTGACAACTTAAGAGTCTGATATAAACATACATACAGTGCCACGAAAGTATTTATCTCTTTTTTTAACTTAAATATTTCACAAATAGCTGTTACATGTAATAATGATTTCAAATAACAAAATAAAAAGTAAGTTACACCAACAGAGCCCTTGTTCAACCATGAATTAGAAATATAGTCTACAAAGCTAAATTCATTTGACTTATAAGAGATTAAACTGTGTCAAGACATCACAAATCCAATCTGCAGTAGTGCTAAAAAATTGCTTGGGAGTTTGGGGATTTAGTCAAGTTTAAAAAGAAATTCAATGACATCTATTAGTTCTGGTTAGGGTTGCCAGCTACTATCAAGGCTGTGGGCAGTATACCTCATAGAGACTTATTACACTCAAATGTTTAAAAAAAAAAAGATTGAACCTTCTAAAACTCCCTGGCCTTCCTAAATTCCCCTTGAGGGGCCTTAACGATTCACTCAAGAGGTCAAAAGAGAACCATAAGTAAACATACTAAACACCAAGGGACTCACTTGGAATTGATAGAGTTAATTGTCACAAGGCGCTGTTGACCAAAAAAAAAAAGAAAGCATTTGGGAGGATATGCTGTTCGCCAGTGGGACAAGCAAAGTTCCTTGTCATCACAAGATACTTCACAGTCAGTTTAATCAAATCATCCAGATTGGTCGATTTAAAAGTTTTCTATCTGAAGAAACCCAGTGAAGTCTGGCAGAACTTACTACACCTGGCTGAGTTTGTACCAGCAGTGGACAACTGCTTGCAATGTGTCATTGACTTCATCTCTCATACAGAATATGTATAAATGGGAGTAAATCTCCCAAGAAAGAAACCTCCAGTAGAACTTGGCTTGGTATGAACCATCTTCTGGCATGGGGATTAAGCATACACCCTAAAAGGAACATAGGAACACTTATCCATCAGTACTTTTTTGATATCCAGCCATCCATTTTCTCACGCTTAGTCCTTGTCAGGTCGCGATGAGGCCAATGCCAGATCACCAGTCTGTCGCAGGGCAACGCAGAGACACACAAAGAAACACAACCATGCGCACACACACACTCATGCCTAAGGACAATTTACAGAAGCCAATTAACTTAACAAAAACTCATGTTTTTGGACTGTGGGAGGAGGCCGGCGTACCCATCAAGAACCGACGTTTGCAGGGGGGAGAACATGCAGACCCATGCAGAGAGACCCTGGCCAGGAATCAAACCCAGAAATTTCTTGCTGCAAGGCAACAGCGCTACCCACTACCTCACCGTGCAGCCCCAGTTTTTTGGGACAGAGAAATCTAGAAGATAAACCCTTGCAGATAAGCTCTGAGCCAGTATTCAAGTCTTGAAGAGACTAAAAGAGAACACATACAGTTAGACATAGTCTCAATCCCAATACCTCTAATCGGTGAGGATGCCAATGCCACGTAGGCTGTGTTTTGCCATAAGTGCTATCCGAAAAATGCTTCCAGTTAGTAAGCGGTTAGGATAGGGACCTCCTGAAATCTGTAGCCAGCACCAGGATTAGTACAGCTGCCCACAATCCTTTACGTGACAGACACTATTTGCACAGCCCCTCTCACAGAGTCTAAACAAAATACACTGTGTCGTGTAGTTTGTAAGACACAGAAAATTGTGTCATCAGCTTCACATGTTTTGGGTTTTGTAACAGACATCTTCATTAGTTCCCTTCATTTGTGTAACTAATTTTTTGTAGTTTTTTTCTGGGAGCCTGTAGTACGAATTTGACCAGCGTCATTCATCTGCGTGTCTGATGCATATTGACGTCCGCGAGGGTGGAGCTTGTTCAAATTCACCCAAACAGTCTTTAACTCCTTTCCTACTGTGGAAAGAGTTCTTGCTGTTGACTTCATGAAAGGTGAAGTTATAGAAGCTATAATCTGAGGTACTCAGATTGATCCATAGTCACAGTAGAAACTCAGTCCAAAGCTACTTTTATAAGAGAGACAAAGCTGAATACATTAAGATAGGATTAAGTGTTACATACCCCTGATCTTTGGCTTGTGTGTTCATTTGTTTCAATCTTTAGTAAAATTATAGTCATACAATCTTTACTTCCGGTCTAATGGGAAATTAGAGTTAAGTTTTTGCTTTGTATTTAATCTTGTTCTGATATTCTCTGTCTGTTTGTTTCTCTTTGCAGATACAAAATGTTTAAAATGTAAAGAGTGGGAGTACTCACCAGAGGACAAAAGGAACACTTGCGTGAATAAAACGGACGAGTTTCTTGAGTGGTCAGACCCCTTCGCCATCATCCTGAGCATAATGGCCGTGCTTTCAATAATTGTTACAGTTCTTATTGCTATCATCATCGGTGTCCACTGTGGAACTCCCATCGTTAAGGCAATTGGAGGTTGCTTGTGTTTTGTGGAGCTCGCCTCTTTGCTTCTCAGTTTCTGCCTAACGTTCACCTTTATAGGGAAACCAACAGCACATTCCTGTGTAGGTATTCCTCTCTTTGGCATCACTTTTTCTCTCTGCATCTCCTGTATTTTGGCCAACCTCATTCAGATCATGGTGGGATTCAGCTTCGACCAGAGGATTTACTTAAGGATTAAGAAGCTTAACCACCCAGTAGCTGTGGTGGTGATCATCTCTGGTGTGCAGGTGGGGTTGTCCATCGCCTGGCTAATTCTTCTCCCACATAGTCCTTTGAAAGTGCAGAAAGCTACAACCATATTGTACCAGTGCAAAATGCATAAGGAGTTCTTCATATTTTTTGCAGTAACAGTAGTTTACAACTCTTTCTGGGGATTTGTTTGTTTCATTATTGCATTCAGAGGTAGACAGCTACCTGACATTTACAAAAACACGACATTAATCACTTTGAGCATGGTGCTGTTTTTAATCATATGGATTATTTTCCTCCCAATTTTCCTCACTATGGAAGGAAAGTATAAATCCGCTATAAGCGGCATGGCCATTCTCATTTCTTGCTTCAGTATTCTTGGCTGTCACCTGGCTCCCAAGTGTTATATTATCCTCTTCAGAAAAGACATTAATAATCAGAATGCTATCAGTGAGTACATTAGAAAACATTATGAGAGGAAAAACCTACCTGTGGTAACATCATCATGATCATACTTTGTCCTGATTTTGGATGAGCAGCAAAACAATAGATGTAAAGCCATTTATTTACATACAATCTATACAGGGATGCAACCTTTTAATTTCTACTATGACACCGATATTTGGAATCTAAATATTAACCGATAGTGATGATTATCCAAAATGATATCAACATAATTCAGACGTACTGGTTTGGAAAATAAGAAAATGCTTCATCAAGTGATATTATGCAGAAAACAATATTCAACAAACAGAATAGTAATACTGACCTATGTGTTAATAACCAATGGGTTACATAAACGTTATGTTTAAAGTAGGTAGAAGAGCAGAGTTTTTATCAGCATGCTAATCTAGGAAATTGAGGATGCACAGCAATACATGTGGACTGATTTCATTTTGGGAAATCTGTAGGTGGAACATCATGTGGAAATATTAAACCAACATCTGGAGCCAGAAACTTCAAGCTTGGGAACAAATGGGTCTTACAAAGTGAGTGGTCATCTAGCTAAATTAGAAAGTCACTCCAAGACAACAAGGTCTTTAAGCCACACAGTTTAAATGACAACTTTTAAATAGGAGTATGTAACCCTCTGAAGTTCCATGGAGAAAAATGTATTCTCCAAAAAGCTTCATTATTCTAAGCATTTAGCAAAGAAAGAAATGTTGAGAAATCCTAATCAACCAAAAAAGGCAAAGGTTTAGTCATATATATCGTCAGACTTGCTTCCTTGGATTCCATTCAGTGTATTTATTTAGATTTATTCAAAGTTTTAAATCCTTCCTTCTGTCAACACAGTGGAAATCCTAAACTTGCTTTTAGTAAAATGTTTTAATAATTGATTAAATCAATATTTGAACTTCCAGGACAAAAGAATGGAGTTAATATTTCACTTGAAAGACAAAATGATGTAGTGCTGGTTTCCCACTCCTGCCTCTGGGGATTAAAAGAGAAAAACAAAATAATACAACCGCAGTGTTAAGTTTAAAACAATTAAATCTGAAAGAAGTCACTCTGCAAAGGCTATTTCCTGTTTTAGTGTATTTTGTGGAATTTTTTTGTACAGCACAATTTATAACTTAGCGACATATTTGGATCTGACTTTCATAACTTCAAGTAAGACAGAGCAAATTTAAAAATGGACAATGCACATTATTTATCACAAAACAAACAAACATATGATTAATAAGTATGCTTTATTGCATTTGCATGAGAAAGTGTAATTAATACACAGCAAACTATTTCAATGAAATTCCTCAACATAAAACTTTGAGTTAAACCATTTTATATCAATGTCATTTATCTACAAATGAGCACAGTAAGAGGGCCGAAGAAAGAGCCTTATTGTATAAATATTTCATGATAAAATCAGTTATGATCTATAGATTATCTGATGAAAACAAAATATTAGTAGAAGCTGACATATAGTTACTCTGCAGTCTTATACATCTGCATACATGTGTATTTTCTCAGATTGAGGCTTAGTTATGCTGTAAGATTTAATTATCAAACACGATTTGTATATTTCTTTTTTTTTTTACATGTAATTTTCATAGATATGAATAATCTCCCCGATGCTTTCAGTCAATGGTACCTATAAGGGCATTGCAGACTGAAAAGTAGTGATGTCAGTCCAACCTTGATCTGACAGATTGGTGGTAAAACTTAAACTTTGTACTTTATTGGAAGAACTCCTGAAGCATCTGGTTTTTTTTTTTATAGCATGCTGTAAAAGATTTAGCTTGCAGACTAATTCACATTTATTAGTAGGACAACTCATTTAAAAAAAAAAAAGAAATGTTTTACAGTCTCCAATAGCGGGTATCTCTGTCCTGCCTTTAAAGATTTCTGTAGAGGTATTTGCTAAGGCAGTTAAGTTGGAGATCTTAGTGATTTATATTTGGTGTTAAAAATCTTTTCAACTGCATATATATAAAATGCACTAATTTGACGCTCATAACTTGTGCTTAAATGTTTGTGTTGAGAAGGTGGGCCTTTACCTACTGTAAATACATTTTATGTGTGACATGCTTCTGAAATGTCTTTATATTTTGCAAAATATAAAGCATTCTCAATATCTATTGTTTATAATAATAATTGAATTTTATTGATATCACACTGGAGAAATTCCCTCCGTGCATTTAACCAACCCCCTCGGGCTGCCACTGTGTGGCGCCCAAGAGCAGTGTGGGGTTAAGGGTCTTAAACTCAGATTAAACTCAGAATAGACCAAAACTTTCTGCTGATATTGGCTTTTTTCTTTCCTTTTATCAGCTGTTATGTTTTATATTCAGCCTGTCCATTCAGTATAGATTCCTGTTTTCTTTCATTTATTAAAAAATGTTTAGTGTTTATATTCCTAATCTTGTGCAACATTCGTTGTTATGTTTAACATGTAAATGGAGGAAATAAAAGGAATAACGGCTTGAAAAAAAAATCTGCAATGCTTCAGGGACTAGATAGAGTAATGTGAAAATAATCAGCCTTAAAAAACTGTTGTTCAATTTCTATTTTATACAATTATGTATCAATAATTAAAGCAAATATCTGTGAGCTGTTTTCTAATTTGCCCAAAATGTCCCTTAAACAGCGACTTAGAAAGCGAAGCAGCATTTGCTGCTGATTGCTTTCCAAAGTTACTGCAATGCTGGAGCACTTCTGATTAGGCAGCCAATGGCTACAATAATATTGTAAATAAAAGTCCCTCCTCTATACTGCATTTATAATCTTTAATAAAAACACATTAAACAAAGTTTTAAGGAGTGAATTAGGAAATTTTTAGATTATAGATGTTAGCACATTGGAAAACTCTCCTCCATAAATACACTGGTACGAAGATATACGACACCAACAGAGAGACAAGAATGAAAACTGTAATTTCTCAGGACCCATCCATCCATTTTCTGACACGCTTTAGCCCAGGTGGGGTGGCGAGGGGGGCTGGTGCCGTTCTCTAGCTGCCTACGGCGAGAGGCGGGGTGCAGCCTGCACAGGTCGCCCGTCCATCGCAGGAATTTGTCAGGATATGAAGCGTAATTCTGCTCTACTTTATGGTCCATCACAATCGCATCATTGCTACAAAAGGTTTTTTAAAGCTAAACCATCACATCAGTAGCGGTATAAATAAATACATTTCTTTACCATTACAGATTAATTGTGGCCAAGCTTACCAGCGAGCATTGTTGATATGCAACTAATGTTCATCTGTATCATTTATTTTGTTTTGCACGGATCTGAAGTTTTTACCATTTACATTAGTTTGAGGGTAAAAACTAAAAACAGCCACCAGATGGAGCTCCTGAGGCTTGTGCTGGTTCAGTAACATTCTCAGTTTCTATGTTTGAACCACGACACATGCTGCGGTTCTGCACCTAATACTTTATTTAATAAAAAAATACAAAACTTCAAAAAGTTTCCATAGGAAAGCGATATGAATGTGCAATCCCCGTCTTTCATATCCAGTTCACATGCATCGTTAAACTTTGTCAAAATTGTTATGAATAGATATAATTCCACAAGTTAAAAATAGAGAAAAAAAAGAGGGGGTGCAGTCTGCTTTTTGAGTCCCCATGTTTAAGTGTTAATCTTGAAGATATTTCTCTGCTTTGTTCAAAAGCACTTTACTAACAATTCATGTAAATATATTGACTGATCAAAACTGAAAACTTTTTTCCTAATCTTAAAGATTAACACTTGAGTTCTGTTCAGAAGTGGTGATCATGGAAAAGATAATGATAGCAGCCACTAGAGGATCTGAATTCCACCTCTGACTGATGCTTAAGTAGCTAGCAGGGCAACATGGCGGCTGACCCAGCAGGTCAGTCAGCACAGATAACGCTGTCTGCAATCTAAACAGTCACAGTAGTGCTACTGAAAAGTTCACTCAAAGCTGTGCTTCATCTTACCTCAGAATTATTAACCTCCCCCCCCCGTTCTGAAATGGGAAAGAAAAAGCATTTAGTGAACTAAACTAATGCTAGCAGCAGATCCATTTAATAAAGCTGCTATTTTATTTATTTCTGGTAGATAGACGGTCTGAGTTGATTCAGCCTCTTAAGGTTGATTCCTACTTCTGGACAGAACATTGAAATGTGTGCATCAACATGACCCCCCCCTCATGTCAAGTAACTGGCCTCATTTAACATGTTTGGAACTTGATGAACACTACCTGCTTATTAATAATATTATTATTCAAAGATGCTAACTCTAAGGAACGTTGCTTCGTGTTCTAGACCACGTTGGCAGGGCAGGGCTTCGTGGGCATTTCCAAGCTGCTCTCTCTGCCGCAGCACGATGGGAAGTCGAACAGAGCCGACTCCTCTGCAGGAGCTGGAAGGCCTTCAGAGCAGATTTGCTGCACACATTGCCTAAAGATGAGACGGACACAAGTTAAGCACAAAAAATAAAAACTTGCATTTTCTTAAGTAGATCTGAGTGTAAGACTCACCAGGCGGGACGGGACATGACGTAATAGATGTCAGGCCTTTGGAAGCCATTAAAGGTGGAGGATGCTGCTACGGTGTAGGCACCCATGTTCTCAAAAACCAGCCAGTCGCCCACCTGGAGGTCAGGCAGGGTGCACAGCTCCACTATCCGATCCAGACCATCACATGTTGGGCCCCATATACTGCAAGGGTAAACTGATTCATCTGGCTTTGGTTTCTGTAAGGAAAAATAAAAATGAAACCATTTCAATTTGTTATGCACCCCCCCCCCCCTAAAGAGAAAGCTTTAAATCTTCCCAACCTTATGCAACGTTGGCAGACAGTGAGCATGGTCATAGAGGATGCAGTTGAAGGAGCCATACACCCCATCGTTGACATAATACATCAGAGTTCTGTCACTGGTCCCTTCGTCTTCTTCTACAGAAAAATAAAATAATGTTTGAATCAGCCATTAAGCCCAAAACAGTCAACTCTCATCATCTGTTCAACCAAAGATCGTTACCATCAGAAGATGAGTCCTCGTCCATGATGACCTTCTTGGCAATGATATTTACAACCAGAGTGTAGGCAGAAGCTACATAAAAGCGTCCCGGTTCAGCGATGACCCTGACCCCGCAGTCAACTGGAAAGTACTTATCAAGGGCCGAGTTGATCACTACTGTGATCTAAACAAAATAAAAAGAGTACAAAAGTCAGTCTAATTTCACATAAACTTTTTGAGAAAACAAAAGTGTAAAAAGTAAATCCACCTCTTCAAATTTGAGTTCAGTGTCATCTGAACCAGGAAAGCCTCCTCCAATGTCCAGGAGATCCATGGTAAAGCCCAGCTCTCTCTGAAAAAGACAACATTAGGATTCAGAACTCTTTAAAGAGCTAAAATCCAAGTAAATCTGAAGGTGGATATTTCTAAGAAACTCACCCCCATATCAAAGACACAGCAAGCATCAGCAATAGCTTTGGTGTAGGTCTCAGCATCAGTGCAGCCGCTGCCAACATGAAAACTAACACCGATCACATCCAGGCCCAGTTCCTTTGCCTTCTCTAGGAGACCGCGGCAGGCTTTAAGAGGAGCCCCGAACTTCACGCTTAGGGGACACACCGCCTTTGAGTCGTCTGTGGCAATACGCAGAACCAACCTGAAAGAACAGGAACATGAATAAAAGAGAAAAAAAAAACAGCTCAAAACACATCAAACAACAAATACTTACTTTGCATCATCATGACAGCGAGCAACTTTCATCAGTTCCACTTCACTGTCAAAGGTCATCATCTGGACGCCATGCGCAGACGCATACTTTATCTGGGAAACCTGCTTGCAGGGATTGGCATAGATGATTCTACTTTGATCAACTCCAAGAGACTGAACAAGCTGGATCTCCGTCTATAGAATGACGACACAGAACGTCAGGAAGAGAAAAATAAATGAAAAAGGTTGGCCCAATTGATTGAACCTTTATTACATATTTGTGACGCATTAAAAGCGCACCTTGCTGGCGCAGTCGAAGCCAGTTCCCAGTGATGCCAGAGTCATAACTACCGCCTGGCTGTCGTTGCACTTGACGGCATAGAACGGCGTGACGCGAGGCAACGCCCTCGCCCAGCGGAGGTGTTTTCGTAAAACATCACCAAGGTCACAGACGTAGAATGCATCCCTATCGTCCTGAAGGAAAATGCAGATTATAAATTACACTTCAGAAACCGATCAGTGTGCATCAGTCCTGTCTAGTATAAATATTAACGCTCTGAAGGTGACAAAACAAAAAGGTAGAGCTGCACTTTTAAAGCGCACATCCTGCTGACAAACCAAACAGGGCCATCTGTCCGTTACATAAACTGCACAGGATGCTTACTGTCAAGGATGACTCATTGATTTTCTGCTCAACAATGTCCCGAGCAGAGAAGCCCTCTTCAAGGAAGGAAAAGTCACATTTGGACAGTGCAGTGGTGTTCATCCTGATTGGTATCGTTTTCTCACACGTAGACTGAGGAAAAACAAAGAAAGAAAAACATTACTCAGATAAAAGCATCTTTTACTCAGCTGATTGCTCACATTTATTGCAGGCTAGGCATAAAATAGAGCATGCAATAAGACAGAGATGAGCATTAACGTAACCCATCACCCTTACTCGGATATGAAAGACTTGGAATTGGGAGATGTCGTCACTCAGGTGCAGAGAAGCCAAGGTGGCTCACCAGTGAAGTTAAACCCCTTCAGGTACAACTCAAGGCCTGGGCCTGCTGAGCAGCTGGACTTTGCCTTCCTAGAGTGAGGATTCTGAAAGGACAAAAGTTTATCATTAAGCATCCTACAGAATTTAATTCACCAATAACTAAGCATTTAACAAGATCTTTTAAGTCACAACTTTGTGCATCATCCGCCTAAACCTGGAAATCTAACGATAAATTCACGTGGTTTTAAAGTTATATAACTTATGATAACTTGACACCAAAGGAAGAAAAAAAAAAAGTCAATGAAAGACAAGAGCCGTTAAGTCCCTCCCCTCTTGAAACCGTCCAATCAGAAAGGAAGGACCCCCCTCTACCTAAAGCCTGACCAATGAGCGACCGATGACGTCGCATGCCGGTTCCGTTGGAGCGCCTAACGCCATGAGGCGACTCTGCGTTTCAATTCATTATGAAACCAACTCACTAAAATATGTAAAAACAACCTTAAAGGCATTGAAGCGAGTTTACTAAAATAATAAGTCTAGTTATCAATGTTTCAAAGCCGGAGGCACCGAGAAAAAGTCTCCATTTGCTGAAACAAAGGAAATGTGTCGCTAGCTTCATTAACGACCATAAAGAAGAAATTAGCACCGCGCTAAAGCCGCCGATTAGTTAAATAAAGTCACCAAAACCCTGAACTTACCTTAAAAAGCATTTACAAAGAGTTTGTCCATTAGCCGATAGAGCTGGGGTTAAAATGAAGCAGTTCCTTCCTACGAACTGCGCTGCTTGAGGAGTGGTCTGCCTGTCTGCGGAGGGATATGCCTCACTGCGGTATTTATAGGGCGGCCGTTTCCACGGCAACGCAGCCAGCTGAAACCGGCCTCCCATCCACGTAGGAACCGGTTTAGGCCTGTCGTCTGACACATGGTGTATATAAAGAGACCACACACTTGGTTTATGGAGGTGCAGCTTCATTTAGTCTCATCACTGAGATCGAGACATAACAGAAAAACACTAAAGTTAAACACTTGGTAAATAAAGGGCCTTAGCCATTTTAAATTACAGTTATTGTGCAAGTAAAACATCTACTGGTAAAATATTCATATTCAAAATAAACAAAGAAGAAATGTTTCTGAGTAAACCAATGGTTATCTAACTATATAAAAATCAGAATCAAGCACAAACTAAAGACATTTAGCAATAACTATTTAGGAGGTAAATAATCCAGTGTTAGATGTGTTAGATGTGCATCAGTGGGAAATTATGCACTTAACCGATGCTTTAAATTAGTTTCCTGTAACCTGCTCCAAATCCACCATAAGTGGCTTTATGGTTGTAGTAAATAAAATATACCACCAACAGAGTCCAAATAGTTAGTCCAAAAGTATATATATATATATATATAT